GCACGTTTGGCATTAGTGCCCTTGATTTCAGCCAGTCCACCAATGCCAAATTGCAGTGCCCTAAAAAAAATGAAATTTGAGGCCTGTGTGTTGTACGTGACTGACACATCAGGGGCATATCCAGGATCATCAGAAGGGGTTTCAACATGCAATGGCTTGGGACCCCCAAAGGGGATCTCTCACAATGAGTGAATGTGGGTAAGGGGGACATGCTTCCCCAGGAAATTTTTTTTAAAGTACATCTACATGTAAGCCTGCAATTTGATACAGTTTAAATGTCCGTTAAAACAAATGTAATACTTCTGTTCTGTTGTTTCATTAGTGAAACAATGAAGGGTTACTGAGGATTACAAATGGGGTGTTTGAACAACCCCCCGCCCCCTCCTGCAAATGCCCTCGCACACGGAATGCTGAAGTTATAATATGACACATGATTATAAATCTAAGCAGGATTAGAGAAGTTTTTATCAAAGATCGCATAGCGGCGCAAGAAGGCGAACTTCACCGTGAATACACGTAAAACGTTGTAATCACATAGGCGCCATTTGAGCAAGCGATACGCCTGTGCAATGCACATTAATGCAAAGGCGCAGGCGCCACAGCAGGCACGTGCACCTAGTGAGCCTGCGCCCAAGCATTACCATAAACTGTACAGGCGTATCGCTTGCTCAAATGGCGCTCATGGTAATTACACCTTTTGGGCAGAGTTATGCATCTTGCGCCTTCGGTGCTATACGATCTTTGGCTTTTATATCCATCTTTATTTTGGCGGGCCACATCACTTATTGCAGAAAAAAGTTTGAGAACAAAATCACTTTGCACATGTGCTGTTTGGAGAAATGATTAAGCAGGTGGCTTTCATGGCTTCAGTGTACACAGGTCCATGTACATATAGATGTCTTCACCCTGTCAAGTTCGTACAGAGGTCTGTGCTGAAGGTCTAATTCTCAATGGGCCATTCACATACCATATCTGACCATGCAAATATCTCCGACGACTATCTCGGTGACTTTGACTAGAATGGGGTCGCCAGCCCGTATGACGGTGATCTTATGCTCCGACTCAATCTTGTTCTGCAGGCCCCGAAACTGCCGCTCCTTGGACCAATCGTTGAAGGCCGTCACCAAGATGACCACGCCCACCGCAATCAGGATGGCAACGCCCTCGATCCACTGCGCCTCCGCCTCACCTGGGTCACTGTGGCCCGCTGTAGATCAACGAGATGATTTGAGAAAGAAACACAAATTGAAAAGGATGTTAACGCTACGGGATACTTGTTGGTTAAAGAAATTAGTTGCTCATTACCTGATCTTTCGGTACAAAACTAACTTCCTTCTCACGTAAGGGTCATTCTATAAATTCATGGCCCCAAAGTGTGACATTTTTGTGTCCCTGTTACACCTGACCCGTATAATTTCAAACTTTTTCTACTCGTTTTGCAGGTAATTTGCATTAATAACAACTCTTTGCGATTAGAGAATGAACTTACTGAATGAACTTACAAAATCATATGTCAGATGTGACAGGGTCACAAAAAACATTGGACCCCAAGAAATAAAAAAAATATGGCTTTTCTGGACAGCGTTACCCAGTGGGCATTACTACTGACAGCAGTATCAGTGTAAACCTACACAACCCCCCTGGACATTTCTCCAATCTTGTCTCAAATGTTTCCCTTCATTTTTCTCTTTTCTTTTTCTTTTTTTTTTTGTTACAAGGAAGCACTGGAGTGTAGTTATGGCCTTAACCACTACCAGCCAAGGACTCCGAAATCGGAGCCGTATGGTTTATATGTGTGGCCGGGGTCTCCGAACTCGGACAAAGGAAACAGGGCCCTGTAACGAAAGACCGTACTCCGAACAAAAGACCAGTCTGCTGGGCATTACCGGCATTTTTCACTCTCAAAAGTGGTGA